TAAAACCAAAGTTTTAGTAATCAGTAAACAGCAGAATATCAGAGCTGATATCAGAGTCAAAGGCATGCGCTTGGAACCAGTTCATCAGTTCAGATACCTAAGTAGCGTTATAACAGAAAATGCAGATAGCCACACAGAAGTAAGATCAAGAACCTAAAATTATCCCTACGAATCCGACTACTGAACGGAGCTGAAGCTTGGACCATCAACAAAAATGAAGAAAGTCGGCTTGCAGCGTTCGAGATGTGGGCCTATAGGAGACTGCTAAGAGTCACGTGGTCTGAAAGAATCACCAACGTGGCAATACTACAGCGCTTAAATAAGACCACTGAGATCCTCTCCACTATAAAAAAGAGAAAATTAGAGTATTTTGGCCATGTCATGAGAGGAGAAAAGTAAAGGCTCTTATAAAACATCATGCGCGGTAAAATACATGGCAGCCGCGGACCAGGCAGAAGGAAAACGTCATGGCTGAAACATCTACGCGACTGGTACAAAACGAATTCACACACACTTTTTAGAGCTGGCTTGGACTAAGTACGGCTAGCGTTGTTGGTAACCAACGTTCTGAAAGGACACGGCGCATGGGAAGAATTTAGAAAAGCAATATTCTAGAGAGGACTATAGAGAATTACTTGAACTAAAAGTTACATTCCTTGGGGCATCTCCACCTCGCGGTGTATTCTTTCGAAGTGCATTTCATCATACAAGATGAATGTCTAAAGCTATTTATAGTTTAAAAATATGCATGTTTTGAAAACAATTTAAGCCTAATGCTTTAGAAGAAAGATCATTTAGTGATATAACTATATTTTTGGTTCATTTATAATGCAACTTTGGTTTAAAGCTCGATTGGCAATAGAAGCTCCTTTTCAAGATCGTCAGTTTTTATAGTAAACTTATAAATATCCTGATTCTTCTATTTGTCAAGTAGCAATGAATACATTCGGAGGACACTTGTGGTTTATCTCTCCTGAAAATGTGGGTCTTTCATTTTTTGATTCGAATGTACCAAGGGCTGATAAACAAAAAATGGTAGAATCCACCAAAGTTTTACGAATCTGCTCGTATGACCATACATAAAAAAGTATTTGAATCGAGTATTTTATCAAAAGAAATTAGGATTTTTTTATCATCAGAAACCTTGGCCCTTTTTTAGAAGATTTAATATATCATTTGACTTTTTAAGTAGCCTACTTAACACCTGGGAATTCCCGAAAAAGGTTATGAAAAGGTATTACATAATTAAAAAAACTTACTAGTTGTTAATGATGTCACAGAACGAGCAACAAATTTAATACGAGAGTATAATAATATTATAACAAAGGATGAAAGTCAAAAGCAGTTTCTTTTACAAGTTGTGAATGATTAGCGTAAAACTTATCCAGATTGTAGGAAACATACGCTGCTTCAAAAATTATTATTTATGTTTATATTTTATTTATATT